AGAAGCAACTTCCAAAATGGAATTGACTACTGTAGTAAATGACTTCGCTAATAAGAAAGCAAGAAAACAAAACTTTTAATGTCCAAATATATAAATGTAGATTTTTATTATTGATATTTAATATTAATATATTTGAAACTAAGAATTTCAATATGTGAATCCCAAAGATAAAAGTTTTACTTTAATTTATGTTGTAATAATTATATTGTCCAATTATTCCGTATCCTATTAAAATATAGTTTATTAAGGGTTTTGAGTATTTTACAATGAAAAAATGCTTTAGGTTCAATACCTAATCTTAAGTGTTGCTTACAACTGGAAATACTTAATAAATATTTTGCACGAAAATCAGGAGTAATTTTATTGTTGCTAAGGGGTATTTTCGAATTATTATCCAATTTCCTTTCCACTAGTGGGCCCCGGAGCTCTGCTTGCCCCAGGGCCCGGACTGCTCTTGTTACGCTGCTGATGGAGTGAAACGAGAGCGAGTGAGATGACGCCACCTGGTGGTTCCAGCATCCGTACCATAACCGACTCGCTGAGAGTGACTCCCAGTACGTTTACGTTAGTAAGGCGGCACCTGGTGGTCACGTCACGTGATGACGACGTTGAGAAGCGTAGCTTTCCGTATCGTTAGGCGGGTTTGCGTGCTCTCTGTGTCCGTACCTTAACCGACTCGCTGAGAGTGACTCCCGGTAACGGTGTAGGTAGGACAGAGGCTCTGCACGTAACGTAAACGCTCGTAGAGGGAGACTCCCCGTACGATTTACGTTAGTGAGAGTGGAGGGTTTACCCGTAGCCTAACGACTCGCTAAGAGTGACTCCCCGTATCGTTAGGCGGGTTTATGTGTTCTCTGGGCCCGTACCGTAATCCGACTCGTAATGAGTGACTCCCCGTATCGGATTAGTACGCCTACGGTAGTAGGATGAAAGAAAACTAGAAAAGTTCAGTTAAAAGAACCTTTATTTGAATGTGCGCAAGAGACCAACACGCCGCTAGGCGGCAAATCTCTGCTGGCTGGTGCTCTAACACACAGACCTTATATACCCTCAGTAAGTCATCTCGACTGCGAGTGAAATAATAACTACATATTTACTACAGAACAGCGCTCGTAGCGTTAAACAATAAGAACTAAATTGGAAACTTATAAGTAATTCACACATATATATATATATATCTACCTATATTACAAAAAGATATCGCCGCCGACGCCGCCGCTGTTCCAAGACTCTGAATATAGCCGCAAGTCAAGAGAAGGGGGATAGGAGAGAAGGGAGGGGGGGACTTGCGGCTATATTCAGAGTCTTGAAACGATCTTAACCTTTAAATTTAGGGTGGGGAGGGGAAGAGAGGAGGGGGGATGGGGGTTGGAGCGCGAAGCCGCTGTTCCAAGACTCTGAATATAGCCGCAAGTCAAGAGAAGGGGGGTAGAAGAAAAGGGAGGGGGGGACTTGCGGCTATATTCAGAGTCTTGAAACGATCTTAACCTTTAAATTTAGGGTGGGGGGAAGAGAGGAGGGGGGATGGGGGTTGGCGCGCGAAGCGCGCAGGGGGCATAGCCCCCTAGTATATATATATATATATATGTATATATCTAACATTATAAATTATAAATAAATTATAAATTATTATAACAATAATATTTATAATTAACAATCAATAAAATTACAATTATTAGAATAACAACAATTATAATTATTAATTAGTTAATCATAATTTATTACAATATAGTAATTATTTATAATAAATTATAAGTTATAATTAATATATAAATAGATTAAAAACATTAAACCTCGAATGTAACCTTTTTATAAACAAATTTACTGAAAACTCCGCTCAGAAAAGTATCCGGCGAGCAGGAGGTTTAAAAAAGTGACGCGTTGACAGCAAAGGGCCTGACGCGTGGATAGTGGGAGAGAAAAGCGGGAAATAGGAGAGAGGTGCGCCGGTGGAGTTTGATTGGAAAGCGTAGCAGACCCGTTACCAATGACTCGGTCAAGGTCAAGAAATTCATGAAGAATGAGTAATTTTGGCTATATTCATGAATTCTAGTCACCCCTATCAGTGACATGTATTAACACCCATAAAAACACGTTTTTTGGGAGTTTTAATCCAAAAATACATTAAATTTCAAACCGATATAAAATTCAAAATATTTACTTTCCTTTTTCAAGGCGTTACACTGTTGACAGAAATTCAATTACGAAAGTGTTTCGGCTTTTTCTGCTTCCATGACAAACGAGCAGATTTATACTTATATCGTTTTCGTTTTCTTAACACACTTCGTTGTTGTGTTCTGCTGTTTATGCGATGGTAAAGAAAATTTTTTGCTCATAAGGTAATTTAAATAGCAGGTAAAAGTAGGAAATTCTGCCGGCAAAACATAAAAATACAAAAGTGAGGGACTCGTCATTTTCATTTTCTGGAAATTGTATAAAATAAACTTTAATTACTAACACTTGATTTTCCTTAAATATAGAACTAATACTTCACGAAACATTTTTTTAATCTTGTTTAAACACTATATTTTCAACATATCATTTATTTAAGCCTTGAAAATGTCTCCGGGGACGCATTACACTTATGACATTTTGCCTGCTTTTTGTTCTGTCAATATTATGAAAATCACTTTTATGTCCTTTTAAGTAGAAAAATTGTTGAAAATTATTGCATTTTACTATATAAACAAATTAATTTCAACTAAGGTTATATCAAATAATTTTTCTTGGCATGGGACACGAATATGACAATTTAAATGAAATGAGCCATATATATAATTAAATAAATGTTTAAAATCCATATGATTTTGTTTTTTTAACTAAGCAGATAATTAAAATTTAAATAAGTAGATGTTATCAGCCAGTATATTGACTCGATTCGACATAAACTAATTTACACTAGCGCCCCGCGTGAAAAAATTTTGCATGGCTTAAAACTTTTACAAGTATTGGTCAAAACTTGATCAAGATTGGTTAAAGGATAGCAAATATCTTTATTCTTCTCTCACCCATTCTTACGTTTCCGTTCACGATTGCGTTCCCGTTCAAGAATCTATTCTGCTTAGGCCTTTAGACTTGATGAAAAATTAAATTAATTGCTCAAGCATGGCATTTGTCCAACAGCCATTCTTAGTCAATACTAGTTATATTTTACTTCCGACTTATAACAAATAATAATCCAACTTGAAATGTTTGTATAATATTTATTTAAAAACATTCGTATATTTAATTATTAATTTTTTCTATAATATTTAATATTTATCACTATTTTAATAAGTTATTTTCACTAAAAATAGGTAAAATTTAATTGATTTTCATTGAAAATCACTGAATTAAAATCAGTTAAAAATTGACTGATTCAGATCTTGAGAGTATTGTATGTTTACCGTGAAATAAAAACGAAACAATTCTTTTCGGAACAAATGTATTTTAAACGAATTGATTACTATTAATGTTAAACTTGTTTAAACAATGTTAATCAACCTTTTAAGGGGACTTTCTGGTTTAGAATTTCAAAAAAATCGATTTTTTTTTTGCTTAAAAATGTTCCATAGTATCATAGAATTACTGACCCAAAACGTTTTTTAAAAAATATGTACAAAAACAAAAGTTATAACAATATTTATGACGGTATGTATTTCAACAACAATCTACAGTTATCTTATTTACATATTTGGTGTTCCTCTTTTATTGATATTAGCTTGAAACATGTTACTCGAGGGTTTTTGGGGTCGCTGATTACGAATTTGATGTCAGTTTTTGAAAATACAAAATGGCGGATCCAATATGGCGGAAGAAAAAATAAAAATTCAACCGGATTTGCTTAAAACTTGTTACTCGGGGGTTTTTGGGGTAGCTGATTACGAATTTGATGTCAGTTTTTGAAAATACAAAATGGCGGAACCAATATGGCGGACAAAGATTAAGAAATTAATTAAATTTAGTTGAAAATGGTTACTTGTGGCCTTTTGAGATTGCTAGTTATGAATATAGGCACAAAACATTAACGTTCTAGGAACGTTTTAATTAATTAAAAAAGTTAATTTTTTATTTTGTAGTCCGCCATATTGGATCCGCGATTTTGAATTTTCAAAAACTGACATCAAATTCATAATCAGCGACCCCAAAAACCCCCGAGTAACAAGTTTTAAGCAAATTCGGTTCAATTTTTATTTTTTTGTCCGCCATATTAGATCCGCCATTTTGTATTTTCAAAAACTGACATCAAATTCGTAATCAGCGACCCCAAAAACCCCCGAGTAACAAGTTTTAAGCACATTCGGTTGATTTTTTATTTTTTCGTCCGCCATATTGGATCCGCCATTTTGAATTTTCAAAAACGGACATCAAATTCGTAATCAGCGACCCTAAAAACAGCGGGATACGAAGTTCTGTTGTAATAAAAAGTTGTTTGATATTCATGACTCAATGAACTATGTTATGAAAACTTTGAACGCGTTTTTCTCGAAAACTCATTTTTCAAACTAGTACAGAGCTTTTCTCGAAATCTACCGAACCGATTTTGAAATCCCAAAAATTTTTCGATTCTTTATTTAAAAAACTGGGGCCTAAACCTCTAAAAACTCATATTTCTACCCCCTGTGTTTTTATATGGAGGTAAATTGACCCAAAAACACGGCGTTTTTGTGAGTTTTTGAGAAAAATGTACATAAAAAATAAAAAAACCTTTAAAAAAAATCGTTTTTGAGGTTTAGGCCCCAGAATAAATCCTTATGAAGAGATTCCCGTTTGGAACTTGAATTTATGTATTACAGGTTGCCCGGAAACTAACGTACCGAAAAAAAGGTATCTTTTGGAAGACGCCACCTACAGCTATGAAATTGAACTAAATACACTCAAACATATTTTTTAAATTTTCTCTACGCAATGTGCTACAATGTCCAAAAATAGTTTTTACAATTTCTTTAATACTGTTCTTACAATAAAAGTTTTAAAACCTTCCTTTTTTGTCAATTCTAAACCAGAAAGTCCCCTTAAATATATAAATAAATAAATATTAATTAAATATATATTTTCAAATATAAGAACTTTTAAATATATAAGTTAATAATTTAATCGTTTTCTCCATCACTCTTCTCTTCTAATAACTCATTATTTTCTTCTTTATTATTATTTGATTCTTTTTCAGCAGATTTTTTGCTTTTTGAATTTTCGATTTTAGGATTTCTTAATGTAGTGCACATATTGTTGATGACTTTTAGGTACATTTTATATGAAAAATCCTTAACTGTACTTTTTTTTCTCACAAAACATAAATTAATTTTTTTTTAATTTGATACTATGTTAATTTGATAACCTATGTTAATGTGAATTGATTGAAAAACTTACTATAAACAGCTTTCAAGACATCTGAAGGTATCATTGTTCTATTTTTGCCACATACGGACATTGTTTTTAATTTTTCTTTGCCAATCAGCTCTAATAGTAGTCTTCGTACCATTTCATTGGGTTTCTTGATGAATCGCATAACATCTAAAATTACTACATTTTTCACAAAAATATTTTCATTTAAACAAAGTTTTAAGTAGCCGGGATTAACTGCAGTCTTCTTTTTAAACTATTAAAATTTTAATTTGATTAATTTTTTAAAACTTCTATTTAATGTATCATTAAATCACCTCTGGTCGATTTTCCATCCAAGATAACCAATTTTTCATAAATGTAAGTACTTCTGAGGTTACTTATAAATAAAAAAATATTAATAAAATTATTATAAATTTTATGAAAACAAAAATAAATTTTTTTTTAAATAAGCGGAATACCTTCCGGAAATGTTTGTTCTATTTTCTCACTTGAAGAAGTATTTTGTGCAGTATCTTCAGAAAATAAATATAAAAATTAGTTTTCATAGGTACACGTAATCAAGGTCAATTTTAATTGTTTTTCGAGTTATTTAATAAAATTAAGTAATTAATTATTTTACTAGAGGTAGAACAGCTAGGCTCCATATATTCATCAGAGAACTCTCTATTTTCTAACAAATTGGAATTATCTCCATCACGAGTAGAAGTCAAGTTTGGTCTTTTTTCCAACCCTTAAAAATATGGTAACATTTTTAAATGTGTATTCAAAATTGGAATCAATATTTGATATTATTTTAAAAATAAACTAGTCATATTGTAGACAATAAGTATATGTATAATGAAACATAAAGTATATATTATCTTAAAAAATTGTAATATTTTACATTTAATTTAATAATCAATTATTTTTGTAAACTTATTGTAAATATGATGGTTTTTAGATTAAATTTGTTAATAAAATTTAACTAATTCATAATCAGTTACAATTTTTAATACTGCAGATTCTGAGAATATGAATAATATAAAAAAATTCCTAATATGAATTTTACTTTCATTTTCTTCATTTTCAGAGTTGATATTATTTTCTTCCAATTTTGAAGATGGTCCTTCACAATGTGATGTAGTGCTTTCTACTAGTTGGGAAAAATTAAATTTTACATTTAATTTTATCAATTGTGACGTTCCACTAGAAAACGGACCTTAGGTCAGAAAGGCGATATCGTGTTTTGGAATAATGGAAAGATTTTTAGATGTGTTACATGTACAGAAATGAAAAAGTTAAACTCAAATTCTTTTTATAACATTTAGCACAAAAAAACAAATCAAAATCTTTTGATGGGCTTCAACAACTCAAAATCTAGTTTTTGCAAATCGGTCCATTTTCTCATAGAGCGTTACGATTATTTTAGCAAGATATTGTAAAAGATTAAATATGCAACTTCTGTAAAAGTTATTATAATAGATTAATATAAACAACTTTGTATTGTCTTTCAATTTATGTTTTTTGCCTTTAAGTATACAATAAATATATTACTAAAACTTCATAAACAATTACCCTGCTCTACGAAAACAAGTGTAAATAACTAATATGATTTTAACTTTTATAAAAAGATATTACTTATGGATTTCTTGGATCGCTTTAACAATTTCACTTCCCACAATTTATCCTTATTATCATCTAAATCCGATTTAATTCTTCTGGCTTAAAATCAAGGATAAATAATAAATTAATTTTATAATTTAAAAATAAATATTACATTATTAAAATTAAATTTCACAGAATCTAAAAATTATCCCACGTGTTTTATTGGTTAAAGTATTTCGTGGAGGCCCACATACTCTTCTATAATTTGGAATGTTACAAACTTTTTCGGAATTAGTTTCATTTGATTTATTTTCTAAAAAAAGTATTATTTAATTTTTATTTAATATTTCGATTAAACAACGTATACGCCTTGTATTGTAGTATTAATAAATTATTTTACCTGAGGTAGAAATGCTAGCTTTTGAAATATTGTCACTAGATGAACGTACATTATTATCAAGTATTGTTTCAGGGGTTTCAGAATTTTCATTGTTTATATTTATTCCAGATTTTTCAAGTTGTGTTTTATTTTCAAATTCAAAGCTATTTTCTATAATTTTATCAGTTACAATTACCAATGGTTTTTCTGACTGTACTTCCTTTTGGAATTGAGAATTTTTGCCTTTAAGTATATATGATGCAGTTAAAACCCAAAATCAGTTATTTAATAATATTCATCTACAGTACAACTACAATTTGAAAGTGAGTTAAGTTTTCGGGTGTTTCCGAGATAGATTGCATTAACATTTCTTGTAAAAATATATTAAAATATTTTAATAATTTAAAAATTGTCTAAATAGTTAAATACATTATAGAATAAATAAATTATTTTACTTAAGATAGAAGTGCCACAGAAAAAAACTGAGTTCAAGAAGAACTGCAACAAAAATTCATTGAATTTATAGAAAACAAAATAAATTATTTTTAGGTTAGAAACTTCTGAATTGACAGAAATAAATACCAACCATGCAACACGAAACATGAAATTTAACGGCGGCACTGTCTAAAAACCAAAGATAATGGCGCCAAATTTAAACTTGAAACTATAACCAAAAATAAAGTGTTATTCATTATAATAATGTAATGATTGTTATAACATATATTAATTGTAAAATATTATTATCTCTGATATAAGAAAAATTATCATAATGAAATAAGCATATATTTTAATTGAACATCTTTTTTTTTTTGAACATTTTTTTAATTCTTGGCTTTTTTACAAATTTAACATCTTCTAAAATATCTTCACTAGATGAACGGAGATTATCAAGCATCGTTTCTCTTTTTTCAGAATTTTCATTGTTTGGATTTTTTCCTTTAATTGTAATTTCCACTGATTTCTCAGAATATGTTTTTTCTTGAGAGCTATTCTCTGTAATTATTTCAGTTGATATTATTAAATTTTTTTCTGATAGTATTTCCTCTTGCAATTTTGGTTTTTTTCCTTTAATATATACATTTATATAAATAATGTTTATAAAAATATATTATATTAAAGTATTTATTTTAATATTTAATACGGTTTACCTGTGGTACAACTAAAATTTGACAGTGTTACGTTTGCGGGAGTAATCGAGACAATTTGTGGTAGGATTCCTTGTGAAAAATAAGTTAAAATATTGTATTTATTTAAAAATTAAATAAATAGTTAAATTAATATTTTGTTTAATTTACTTTTTCTCAAGTTCTTGGTTGGAGATACAATTTTTGATGATTCCATTTCCGGAAATTTATCCGCAGTATCATTTAAGACTGTTTTGTTTTGTTTAGCTTAAATACAAAAATAATTATTTAAAGAACTTTTTCAGAAAATAAAATTTATAAAAATTCAACACAATAATAGGAACTGAAATCTAAAGAAGTAAATAATATTTTAATGAATTCAGCTAAAATGGCATAATTTGATAAAAGGTTATATTTTGTGTACGTATAAAAATTTTTCTTTGGCCATAGATAATAATGCTTAAAATAAATGAAGTAAATTTTACGTAAAATACCATCTTTAATCTCTTTGACTGGAAACAACGGTGGGAGCGTTGAAATTTTTTTAGAAATGATTTTTTGTCCTTGATCTTTGATTTTCTTTAATTTTAATTTTTGAGGATCCTTTCTTCTATTTTTTTTACATGTTCTTTTTGTAATATTTTTCCGTTCTTTGATAAATTTATTGACTGAAGGTACAGTTTATCTTCTAAATATAAGATTTTTTTTATATAATGTGTATTTATTAAATGTTTTGAATATACACTGCATATTTAAAATGTATGACAAGATTTTGTAAATGTCAAAATAATTTATGAAACTAGTTTAAGTATCTTCAAGTAATATGATTTTGTTATGTTTTAAAAAATTTTCATTTATATAGAGGTTACGAACTTCAGGAATATGAATATCTTATGTTTCTTTTTCGAATTCGAATGTCATTTTCCGTTGACAAAATGATATGTAGAAAAAATTTAGTTTACATGAAAATAAATTGTTTTTATTGATATATTAATTTAATGTTCCCCTTTTTTATTTGAGTAATTTAATAAAAAATGCTTCCCAATCGCAATTTCTTTAATCAATGTGATAGAACACAACGAAGACTTATTCAAAGTTTAAAGGAAAAAGAGGAACAATTATTCGATTCATCATCCGATGACTCTGGTGTAGGATTTAAATTTTCCAATAAATTAAGAATTATTTATTTTATTTATTATTAACAGTTTTTAACATTTGCAATTTTATTTTTAATATTTGAACATTATTTTTAATAGTGTATAATTTTTTTCCACTTCGAAAAAAATACTTTTGAATTTAAATAACCTTTTATAAATAAAGAGTTTTAATATATTTTTTCAAAATTTTGATGATTTTATTGAAAATAAAAATTAAATTTTTATTTAATAATAGTGTTATAAAGCATCCTTTGCCTTTTGTGTTAGTTTTAATTTTTATTCTTATTACGTTAAGTTGTAATTTATAATTCAGATAAATATTGATGATAATGTCGTATACGGCGGCAATCCAATAGAGCAAATAGAAAATATTGGTAATAAACATTATGAAGAACAAGATCCATATGAAAAAGAAAATCCAAATATAGATATAGAACTACATAACGAAGAATATTTTAATTCGGTAACTAGTAGTGAGAACGGAGATATAATGCAATATGACAATCTTGATGATGACTTTGCTAGTTTATATAAAGATGAAATTGATGATATTTCTGAAGACCGTAATATTTTTATTAAAATTATAATTGAAAAAGTTAAAATATATTATTAAATGTAACACAGCCCCACAAAAAAAAGTGTCGTGCGCGGCAGACTTGACTAGTCATTTCCTATGTATTTTGACGCGCTGAACACGAATCCGAAGTCCGTTTTGCTCCATCACGTCAGGATTTTTTTCTAACCTCCAAAAACCTGACGGATTTTGAGAGGTATGCTATTTTTTTTAAAAATTGATGGATTTACTTCAAACTTGGTATCTATAGGTTTTTTGGGTCGCTGATGACGAATTTGAAGTTAGATTGTGAAAATTCAAAATGGCGGCTCCAATATGGCGGACGAATTTTGTAAAAATTGATGGATTTACTTCAAACTTGGTATCTAGGGATTTTTTGGGTCGCTGATTACGAATCTAAAGTTAGATTTTCAAAATTTTAAATGGCGGCTCCAATATGGCCCCAATTCCAATAGCGCATTCAACAGAAATGAAAGAAAACTATGAATATATGAAACTAGTTTTGGATAAAATTAGATACCGAGAACACAACTGTCAAATTTGTGGAGATTTCAAGAGTTTAAGCATACTACTTGGACAACAATCAGGTTTTACAAAAACACCATGTTTCCTGTGTTTGTGGGACAGTAGAGATCGAGAAAATCACTACATTAAAAAACAATGGCCAAAAAGGAATTCTTTCGAACCAGGTTCAAAAAATATAATAGAAAATCCCCTAATCGACCCTTCAAAGGTGATAATTCCGCCCTTACACACGAAACTAGGAGCAATTAAACAGTTTGTCAAAGCCTTAGATAAAAAAGGAAACTGTTTCAAATACCTGGAACAAAAGTTTCCAGAAATCTCTGATGCGAAACTAAAAGAAGGGGTTTTCGACGGACCACGTATTCGCAAATTGTTAAAAGATGAGCAATTTATCACCAAGATGAATAAAAAGGAGAAAGCCGCATGGCTTAGTTTCAAAGCAGTTGTCGGAAATTTTCTGGGTAATCACAAGAGTGAAAATTGGGAGCAAATAGTTAGTGATACGATTAAAAACTTTGGTAAGTTAGGATGCTTAATGAGCATAAAGTTGCATTACTTAGACTCGCATCGGGATCAATTCCCTGAAAATTTGGGAGATTACAGTGAAGAACAAGGAGAACGATTCCATCAAGATCTTAAAGAATTTGAGCGTCGTTATCAAGAAAGATGGGATGTAAATATGATGGCCGACTACTGTTGGATGCTGAAAAGGGATATTGTACCTGGAGGCACCAATTTGAAAAGAAAACCATTACACAGATCCTTTGAGGACAAAAGAGTGCGCTACCATAAAAAGACGTGAATACCTTACTTATGTATATAAGAATTTTCATTTCTAGTTTTGAAAATCTAACTTCAGATTCGTAATCAGCGACCCAAAAAATCCCTAGATACCAAGTTTGAAGTAAATCCATCAATTTTTACAAAATTCGTCCGCCATATTGGAGCCGCTATTTTGAATTTTGAAAATCTAACTTCAAATTCGTCATCAGCGACCCAAAAAACCCCTATATACCAAGTTTGAAGTAAATCCATCAATTTTAAAAAAAATAGCCTACCTCTCAAAATCCGACAGGTTTTTGGAGGTTAGAAAAAAATCCTGACGTGATGGAGCAAAACGGACTGCGGATTCGTGTTCAGCGCGTCAAAATACATAGGAAATGACTAGTCTGGTCTGCCGCGCACGACACTTTTTTTTGTGGGGCTGTGTAATTATCGTGTGAAAATTAACGACTGCATTAGTATTTTTTTAGTATGTATATATTTATTTATGAAACAATAGAGTGCAAAGTTTGTAATATTACAAGAGAATATAATTTTTATACATTACAATAATTTTTTAATTTTTTAATTTAGAGTTTGACGAGGCAGCAGATGAAGATTTTATTTCTGAAAATGAAGATATTTTGTCTAGTGATAATACTTCATCTAGTGAAGATGATAACAGTTTGGAAGATGACTTTCCTGACGAAATAGAAAGAGAAGATCCTCTTCTTTCTGATGGAGCACCTTTAATAGTTTCCGAAAGTGCATTATCAATTTTGGCTTTAGTTACACGTTTTACTGTGTCTGGTGTTCTTCTTTCCGCAATACTAGATTGATTAAAATGCATTGCCCCGAGCAAAATAATTGCATTTCATCACCGAAAAAAAGTATTCTGAAATGAAGTATACAATATTCTAAATTTTTTTAATTAGTATATATTCTAAAATTTTTAGTATATCTCCCACTTATATCTGCAATAATAGTTGGTATTCTTAAAAGAAGAATATATTCTAGAACTTAGAATATAATATTCTTTGAAAAGGCGTTATGCGCATGTGTGATTGCGCGACCGTAAAACGCAGAAGCAAGTTGGAAAATACCGGTGTCTTCGTGTACGGCGTGAAACTTTTTCAGTGTTTCGGGTTAAATTAATATTAAAAAAATATTACTTCGAGTGTCCATATGGAAGAGGTTAAAATGTGCCTTAGAATGTATTATAGATTCTATAATTGTTTTTTAGTGGTTTTTAGCGTTACATGACGAACTCGTATCATTTAACCCCTACTTTCTTCGCACAGGAGTTTTCCAGCATTATTTAATGTATATTTTCGTATTAAATATCAATACTTTAATTTTTTATAAGTAAAATACTCTATTTTTAAATTTAGTATATTCTATTCTTCATTCAAGAATATTATCATCATTATAGCTCTCAAATGATTATACTGAATATTAGAATATCTTATACTCGATCACTAGGTGAATCCCCTCTAACATCTAGGATATATTCTTGGCACCTATTTTAGTGGGAGATATTCTTCAAGTTAGTGGGAAATACTTAATTTTAGAATATTGTTTTTTCGGTGATCGCTTTATTATTTCAAGAAACATTTTGAAAATGAACAAAATCCTCTTGAAGTACATTATTATTGTGAAGGATGTTATCAAAATTTACAAGATGAACACGATAGATGCCAAAACTGTTTAGAGTTAACAAAAGCCAAATCATTTATAACTAGCTGAATAATATCACAACTGAAAGCACTTTTTAAACGGCGCAGTTTCCGTAACAAACTTCAACATCGCTTCAATAGAGTAAAACAAATGCCAAAAAATATAGAAGACATTTATGATGGAAGAATCTATCAGGAATTGAGCGTCGAAAATCTGATTTTATCTTATCCACACAATGTATCTTTTATGTGGTATACCGATGGAGTGCCAATTTTTAAAAGTTCTAAATTTTCCATCTGGCCTACGTATCTTGTCATCAACGAGTGCCCATATAATGAGAGATACAAGAAAGAAAATGTTATTCTTGGAGGGTTATGGTTTGGCGAGGAAAAACCAATAAATACCAAATCTGTTTTTATTTTCGTTATATAATGATATAGAACAATTGTTGAATGGTATTCCAGTAAGTGCTCCTAATGTTGAGGTTGATATAATGGTACGAGGCATAATCATCAGTGGTACTTGTGATTTACCTGCGAAAGCGCTATTTATGAATATGAAACAATATAACGAAAAGTTTGGATTCCATAAATGTAAAATTCAAGGACAACGAGTTGAAAATGTTCAAGTTTATCCTTACAAGCAAAATTTACCAATGCGAACCAATGCCCTTTTTGTGGTGTGAAAGGTTCCACTATTTTATCCAGAATAGTGTACTTGTGGATAACAACAACAGCACTTCATGTCATGCACTGTGTATTCTCAGGAGTGTTAAAAGCTCTTTTAAAACTTTAGTTTGATTCAACTTTTGCGAACGAAAAATTATCCCATTGTCAATTTACTCAATATGTAGATGAAAAACTAAAAGAAATTTTTTCTCCTGCATTTGTTCAAAGACGTCCGCGTACAATTTCGGAACTTTTAAAACATTGGAAAGCTTCAGAGCTGAAAATTTTTTTTTCTACTATTGAATTCCAATCTTAGAAGGCGTCCTGAAAAAAGAATATTTAGAACACCACAAACTGTTAGTTTCCGGCATATTTCTTATTTGCCAACCATCTATCTCGGCAGAAATGCTAATC